AAACGTTGTATATCGTCAGGCCTTGCTCTTCTTGACCTTGTTTCTCAATCCTTAGGGTAACAGAACACAGATCCTTCGTGTGTTCATGGAACTGCCACATTGTCGGGTCTAGCCGCTTATTCACGTAGATGCACACTCGTGCGGGTCCCTCTTCCTCTCCTGATGGGTAGCATAGATGGAATGTTTGCTTGGCTGGATGGTGTGTTGTTGGTATAAATGGGTTCCTCCAAGGCTCCTGAATGGCCAGAATATCAAAATTTGTGATGCTTGGATCACGTAGGAGGGTGGCCATGACCCCGTCTTTGGACTTTCGGACATTATACTGTAGTATGTTCAGTGTATCTTGTATCCTCATGATACTGTCCCACGATCGATGTCCATCTGTTCGCTAGCTGTCCCTCTCAGTGTGCCACTCTCCCGTGCCTCGAGCGCTCTTCGAGACGGAACCAAAGTACGCTGTGGTCTCTGACTCGCACTCGCCTCCTCTGTTGCCGTCATGTCCTGATCTACCAGCGTTGTCCCAGTATTCGTTCTCTTTTGTCCTCTTCCTTGCACCGGTTCGGTCATTCCAGAGAGCGCTGTCGACCGGGGTAATGCTACCCTCTCTTGTCGTGTTCTTTGCAGAAGTCCTGTTATCATTCCTGGAGCTATTGCTGCCTCCGTTGTACCTACTACTGGGTGGTAGTGAGATCGCATGGCATATGCCTCCTTAGTTTTGGCCAGTTCGTCCTTCCGGATGGGGCATATCCGATTCCATGCCTCGTGGTCTGCGTGGCAATTCGCGCATTTCCGGCTGGCGGTCCGCTCAAACTTCTCTGGGCAGTCTCGCGAGTTATGGTCCTGTTCGCAAAAGCCACATGCTGTTGTTGCCTTGCACTGGGTTCCTATGTGGCCATATCTTTGGCAATTGAAACACTGCTTCAGACGACATTGCCTCTCGTATCGCTCGCACTGGAAAACCTCCCCTTGCCAGATCAGTCCTTCATCAATAATCTTATTGGCATCCTCAGGTCTGGTAAAGTCTATAATTACTGACGAGGCTGATTTGCTCGGTGTCTTCCGGGTCAGCCAACCCATGAACTTGATATCAGCTCTGGGAATGAAGGGCTTATTTTCATGGAGCATGTCTTCTCTATTTTGCTCAAATTTAACCATGTCTATAGAGTGCGTACGAATTCCGTGAACTAGGACGCCGTATGTTGGATTTCGTACA